CGATTGCTTGGGTACCTCTGTCCCATTCGTATTTCAACCGTAAAACACTGGTATGTGCATGGCTGTGTTTCGGTTTGAAGGGTGGGATATGGCATGAATTTACTGGGTACGAAGGAATAACACCTGAGTCCTCAGGAATGGCAACCCACGGAGGGTATCATGGGTGAAACAGTATACTCTGTTATATCCATGTTACTGCTCATGTCTATAGGCGACGATTATCACTTTCCATCAGGTGAGTCGTCAGCTTGTTTGCCATTCTAAGTTGTATAAAAAAAACACACAAACATAAATATTTCAAAAACCACCATTTTCTGTTCAGTGTTACACACACATTGTAGTATCAGCTATATAACTGTCCACTGCTGAACATAGCCACCCCCATAAGAGGGGTTTTGCCAGTAGTTGTTCCTCTTGGCAAGCGGATTGGCAAGCGCAGTTTGACTTTTGGTGATATTTTAAGAGGCACTCTGCTGTTCATCCCTCCACCATAAGCTCCCTTGGTTGTCTCTTACGACACCTACGGGAAAGGAAGGAATTAGAAAACTATTCTATGCCTGAACCTACATGGCTACATCATGCATATAAATATAACCATAATTATAACCATTTTTAATATATTACGTATACCTACATTTTTTACTTTGATACAATTTTACTCGTATTACATACTAGCTACACGCCCCGGCTTCGTGCGGTTGTAGGTACTAATGAAGAAAAAGTCACCAAACCTTTCAATTCTGTCAATATTTTTGAAGATCTTTGTACTACCTTATATCTTATATTAGAGATTTATCAAACATTTTCTTTTATACAAACCTTGTCTTGACAATTACAAACACAACGCAAAATAATTGGGGGAAAGGGAATTGTCAGTACTGAGGTCTGACAACCTCATTTCTAGCAATATTCTCTATCAGATCAACCTCCATATGGTTCCCCCTGGAAACCATCGTGTTAAATTTAATTATATTATATTGAATTCATCACGATGGGCTAACTGACCTGAGAGCCAACCATGAAATGTTTTCCGAAATTTCGGAGCCAAACGAAACAGAAATTTGATGTTAAAATTACATAATACATGCCGTTTGGAAATATTAAAAATGTTAAAATATTGTTTCTTTTGACTTTTATGATAAGATGTATGACGAATGAAATGTTAAACTCCATTTATTGGTCCGATTTTGGTATAAACGAAAACACGAAATTGAGTCCAAAATTTCAGAATTTCATTTCATGGTAGACCCGCTGCTTTCAACTCCGCACTCATCGGTGCCCCGCCAACGTATACTGATAGCGCAGGCGGGGTTACCATACCACTATCATTCATTTAATAACACAGAAGAATTAGTCAAATAAGTGCTACCGTTATGAAGTAGTATGATGCATTTACATACATTCTGCAAATGATTTTTATTATTTTCATTAATCAAAAAATCTAAAAACGACAAAAGTTTAATAATTTATGTTGACATTTTTTCAAACGAAAATTACGTTACTATGCTTTCAAAGTAATTAAACGTCAAAGATTTTTTTTTTTATTTCTAATTTCTTGCCTTAATCAGATTTTTTGCTTAATATCTAATGTTAAGACAATCTATCATTGAAACTGATCCATCATATTCAGACTTTTATTACTAAGTTTAATTAAACTTACTCTTTACTTTTAAATATAATATTTGACTATGTTCTTGTCTCGTTTAGTGTAACGACCCCGTTTTTATTACTCGTTTATATATATTTTTTATTTATAATTGTCATCTTTCATACAAATTTTATCAAAATCGGATTAGTAGTTTAGTTTGTAAATTGAAATGACTGGTTTTATCACATGTGGAGTCAGTTTTTTTTTTTGTGGAACACAGTCTTTAGTTACTTCTCTTTACTTTTTAATATAGTATCTGACTATGTTATTACCTTGTTTAGTGTAACGATGTAATATATTTTTTTTTATAATTGTCATCTTTCAAAATCCTTTTTTTTTATCGTATTATCCATTCGATAAAAAAAGGTTTTAAAGGAAAAGAACTTACAAGTTGTTCTCATAGAAATTTTATCAAAATCGGATTAGACTTTAGTTTGTAGATTGAAATAACTAGTTTTATCATATTTGAAATCGGTTTGTTTTTGTAGTCATACTATCTTTAGTTATATTACTACTCCTTACTTTTAAATGTAGTATCTGACTATGTTATTATTTCGTTCAGTGTAACGACCCCGTTTGTACTACTAGGTTGTTAACATTTTGTTGTTATCTAATGTAACTATCATGTTGCCCAACTTAATCGCATTTCTCGTTTTCTCTTCAACAGGCTATAAAAATAAGTAGATTCTTAATTCGTTTGTATTTTTTTTTTTCTTTATTATACACACCAGTTATAAGAATATGACAGAGGTAATCAAATGTACAAAGGCGAACTTAGCCCTGATAGAGTTTTCTTCCAGCAAACCCAAAGTGGAAAGGAGCATCAATATCAGCGGATACAGCAGTGTACAATATTGTAACAATTTTTAAACAAACTAGACAAAATTAAATTATTTATTTATATTCGTTACCTCATAACTCCGTGAATTATAAACCTATTTGAAAAATTCTTTCTTTGTCTGAAAGGATATATTGATATACTCACAGATTGGTGCCATAGAAATTTTATCAAAATCGGATCAGTCGTTTAGTTTTTACATTGAAATAATTGGTTTTGTCACATTTGAAGTCAGATTTTTCTGTAAAAACAATTTAATATTTACAATATACAATATTTACTTACGAAATAAAACATGTGACACAAATTAACTTAGTTAATAAATTTGACTTTATAAAAGTGACAAATGTTGAGAAAAATTTGAAAAAAAAATACAATCGTTAATGATAATGACAGACTGTAAGATGCTTTTTTTTTATACTACTGAGGTAGCAAACAAGCATACGGCCCACCTGATGGTAAGCGGTTACCGTAGCCTATGAAATATACTTAGTAGATATATCAAAAATATTGTATTTCAACAAACAATTTATTTCTCCATAGAAAGTATGTAGAAACAACATTCGCTACATACGAACCCAACAATTGCAATGACAATTGGGGAAATAACAAAAAAATCAAATGAACTGAGAATTACCTTCGTTCAGAAATCACTTCGAGGAAACGCGGGTAGCGTTTTCCTTATACATATGTATGTACATATATATATTCCTCAATTTTTTCCATGCATAATGACACTAGAGTAAAAAAATTTTCACCCTTCAATTTTATATTTTTATATTATTTTATATTTATATTATACCTAACTTACCCCTACAATTAGTAACCCTAATACTAGCCGCCATTAATAATAATAATAATAGTCCGCCATTGTATACTAAATCATTTACTAGTATTTAATCTGAGTTATGTACAATAAAGATTTTTACAATACAATACAATACTAGCAATAAACCCAATCAGGTCGACCTCCTCGCGGATCCCCCTGAAAACCATCGTGATTGGGGAGAAGGGATTGTCAGTTATGAAGACTGACAATCCCATTGCTAGTAATATACCCAACCAGGTCGACCTTCTCGCGGTTCCCCCTGGAAACTATCATGGTTAATTCCTGATGAATTCATCAGGATGGGCTAACTGGCTTGTTTTCATTCTCATCTATCACCTTTCACTGGTGCTCCGCCAGCATATCCCGTTAGCGCAGACCAGGTTACCATACCATTTTCACCCATCAAAAAAAAACCATCGTGATTGATTCATTAGTGAATTTGTCACAATAGGCTAACTGACCTGCTTCATCTTCACTTATCAGTTCTCACTGGTATCCCACCCATATATGCCGATAGCGCAGGCGAGGTTTGAATGGTTTCATTATCATCCATTAAAAAAAACTTACCCCTACGTCTTTCTTTTTTTTTTTTATTATTAATCACAGTAAATGATAATTTTCAAATACTAAGAATATTATGTACCTGCGATTTCGTCCATATGACCGAAATATGTTTATTGACCGAGACAAAAGTAACCTATAATCCTTCTCCATCCCATATAATATATGTGTACCAAATTTCATAGTAATTGGTTAAGCCACAAGCGCTATAAGACAACAAACAAACTCACTTTCACATTTTTAATATAAATAAGGAAGTAAGGATAGTAAGAATTATATTTAATTATATTTCGGATTGAATGGTGGGATATGGCGTGAATTTACAGGGTACAGAGGAATAACACGCGAGTCCTCAAGAATGGCAACGCATGGGGGGGTATCATGGGCGAAACAGTATACTCTGTTATGTCCATGGTACTGCTTATGTCTATAGGCGACAGTTACCACTTTCTATCAGGTGGGCAGTCAGCTTGTTTGCCATTCTAATTTGTATAAAAAAAAAGGTGATATAGAAATTTATATCACCAGAGGGAGTCACAGTCATACTAGTAATAGTAATAGGTACTACTTCGAGAGAAATGTTTTAAAACCGAGTAAATATTACCTTAAGTCCCGTGAGGATCATTTCAAATAACTACTCGTAGATATGTGACATTGAACAAACTAGTACTATGTTACTAGTATAAGAAAAATGATAATTGGTCGATATCTGTATAAAGGAGATATTAAAAAAAATAGGTAAAAGTTTTAATAATAATAATCATATTTATTTATTCAGACAACATAAGGCCTATTTTGTTAGTTATAAATTTACCTAACCTGTTTTGTTTGCGGTGTTTACGCATTTAAAAGATGCATATATTGTAAAATAAAATAAATATAGAAGTTATAAAGGAATCTCTTATAACTATTTATCACACAAAATTGTATGAAAAAGTTGACCCGTTTCTCTTGAAGCATTTATATGGAGACACTCTATCTATATAATCTGAGATCATAACTTACCATATAAAATATTTTGTATACTGATTCAAGCGTGGAAAGTCGTGGGTAATAGCTAGTTTATAATATCAGTAGGATTACAACTTTTTGGGTAAACAAACTCATAAGAGTTATTCTTGCAGCTTCACCAAAAGAGACCAAGAGTGACGGGTGCGGCAGGTTCCGGAGGTGGTGCAAGAGTCGTCGTTGCCAACTGTGGCGGCTGCTGCTTCTCCCGTTCATACCGATCCTGGCGCTAATCGTCCAGACTACTTTATCCTTGAGGAGCAGCCTCACAAATGGAAGGGAAGTAGCTGATGTTGAGGAACAGGTGAGAGAAAATCAACAAGAGAATATATTTAGAATCTTCTAGAATATTACTGACCTGCTTTTGCACGAGACTTCGTTTATGTGAATTTAGAAAGCTTTTTATATTATTTAGAATGACTATAGATATACTGTATCGCTCAAAATACTTCTCATGCATTCCTGAGTAGTTCATGCATCCCATAAGGAGTTATACCTCTGTACATTGTAATTTCATTACTTCATCCCACCCTTCAAACTAAAACACAACCATGCATACACAACTGCTTCACGACAGAAACACGAATGTGACAGAAGTGCCCAAGGTTTTGTACTTTCGTACAAAACCTCTGATAAGTCTGGTAAGTAAATAAACTAATAAAACAACCCACTTACAAGTGAGTTGTATGTTTTGAGTTCTCTTCTTTTATAACAACACCTCGCTCTGTAAATTGTCGGTGTGAACAATTCTAGTAACCATTTGTAATATGTACATGGATAACTGTTACTGGCCTAGAATATTTAAGTTTATACAATGTAATTCATTAAGTTTCTTGTAATTTATAAAGTTCGCCGTTCGGTCCCCCCTGTCTTTCTCGTGAGAGTTATAAGAGACGACTAAGAGATCTTAATGCTGAATTGAAGGGCAACAGCATCCCTCTTTAAACATCACAAAAGGCCTAACTGCGATTGCCAAACCGCCTGCCAAGCATGGCAGCTACTGACGAAACTCCTCTTATGGTGAAGGCCTTTTTTGCAACAGTGGACAATTAACAGCTAATATAATAGTAAGTTTAAGGCTGTTATTATGCTTAATATAGAAAAATAAAAAGAAAATAGAAACCTAATGATAAAATAAATGACATTTTAAAATGGCCGCAATCACAACATGGCGGATTATAATATAAAAGCTTTTTTTTTTACAAAAATGTGTTTAAATAGACTTGTTTTTATGCCAACAAACTGACTGCATACCTGATCAAAAATGATAACCGTCGCCTACGCATATGGACAGCATCAGATAACTTTTGTGCAAACCCGTTATCAATATTTATATCTGGACATTCTGTGATGTATTTTGTAAGATATATTTTGTATATATCTTGTTCACCATTGATCGCAGTAAAAAGGTAAATAAGCTGAACAAACATAGAACACTCTGGAAAAGCGTAATTAAAATTAAGTAATTCTATGACGTAGAGAGATAAGAGATTTAGTAGACAAACAATGATATCAGAAATCTTTACCATAGATACAGGGGGGAAGGGATTGTCAATAATGCTAGTTACCAGTCCCATTGCTAGCAATATATCCTGTTAGGCGGACCTCCACGTAGTACCCCCTGGAAACCATCGTGTTAAATTTCAGATTATTCATCACGATGGGCTAACTAACCTGTTTTTTCATTCTCACCTATTATTCCTCACTGATGCCCTGCCAGCGTATACCGTCAGCGCGGGCGGATTTACCATTCCACTATCATCCATTACAAAAAAAAACCATAGATACAAATTAAAACTTGCCGTTTCGAAGTATCATTTAGGAAGAGTCTTTTATGGGAATGAGCATTAAATGTTATAATAAGATTCTGGAGAATATTTTGAATCTGCCTTTTAATAAATTTAAAACTGTCTGTCTCTGCACTTACTTCTCAACCACGCTACTGATTTTGATACGGGTTTCTGTAACTGTTATTTTTTTATACAACTTAGAATGGCAAACAAGCTGACGGCCCATCTGATGGAAAGTGGTAACCGTCGTATAGACATGAGCAGTACCATGGACATAACAGAGTATACTGTTTCGCCCATGATACCCCCCATGCGTTGCCATTCCTGAGGACTCGGGTGTTATTCCTCTGTACCCTGTAAATTCACGCCATATCCCACCCTTCAAACCGAAACACAGCCATGCAAACACAACTGCTTCACGGTAATTTAGATATGTTTTACTGAAAGTTTGATTGTGTTGCAGACAGCTGCGTCAACCTTTTTTTTATTTTGTATTTTTATAATATTCTTTTTTTCTATATACAATTTGTTTGATATATTTTTAACGTCAATTTCATATACCGTTTTTCTTGTAATAAATACATTATTCGTCTTTTTTTAGTCAGTTTCAATCAAAGGAGTCTTGTAGATATGTTTATGCAAATATGCATGGGGTTCTTCAAAAAGGAGATAAAAAATTACCCTTAGGGTCGGCAGACGCGAAATGTCCCTGGTATTGCAAATGTTCGTAGGCTACCAGTAACTGCTTACCATCATGTGGGACGTATGCTTGTTGCCACCTCAGTGGTATAAAAAAAATATATAAATTCAATGTTTTGAAATATAACGCGCGCATGCAAAGCCGGTGCGGATTGCTTGTAATATTTAAAAATTGTATAAGGCAAAAGGATTGAAATATATTGGACGGATTACATGAAAAGTGAGATGGGGTAATAACGGCCTGACGTTTTTCACCTGCAACAAAGAATAATTGGGTATAATACATTTAAACCGTTAGATGGACGTACAAAAGAACCGACTTCAAAAAAAGGAATTTAATTCAATGACAAAATCAGTTATTTTGATACAATAATTAAACTACTAAATTGCTTTTGAATAAATTTCTATTTATTTATTTATAAAAGACACACCAACAATATGCTCGCAACAATTAAGCAGACAAAATACAATGTTATAAGTAAGTGAAAGAGAAAAACAGAATATCAGTGTTTTGCTCTTTTAAGGGCAAAGCAATAAGCTTAGTTGTGGCCATTTTGTGTTACTATAGCAGCACACGTATGAAGGAAAGGAAAGAAAGGAAATTGTTAGTTTATATATTTTGTTTTTTTTTTTTTGTTTTGTGCTTTTTTATATTCATTCTTATATCTCTTTTACTGTGTATTTTGTGTATGTTTTCTTTTTTGTAATTTGTGTGCTGTAAATAAATTATCTATCTATTTAAAAACTACTATTCAAAAATGCTTAAATCTAAGTTTACTTGAACAAAAACATCTCACTCCTCACTACCAAGCTTAAGGCCATATGAGCACATCAATTGAAGGTGTTTACAGCTCTCACGAATAAGCGTCAATGCACACTATGAGACCAACCTGAAAGTATCTCCTTTCAGATAAAATGAAATAGATATATTTAATAATAGCAGTAGCTATATAAGAAAAACTATCACAATTTTTTTTTATGTACTCGTAACTTAGAATAGCAAACAAACTGATGGCCCACCTGATGGAAAGTGGTAACCGTCGCCTATAGACATGAGCAATACCATGGACATAACAGAGTATACTGTTTCACCCATGATATCCTCCATGCGTTGCCATTCCCGAGGACTCAGGTGTTATTCCTCTGTACCCTATAAATTCACTGCCATGTCTCACCCTTTAAATCGAAATACAGCCATGCAAACACAACTGCTACACGGTAGAAACACGATTGGGACAGAGGTACCCAAGCAATCGACTTTTGTACAAAGTCTCCCTCTAGTAAAATTATTATTATATAATAAAAAAAAACAGTATAATTAAAACAGGAAAATTATTCATTAATTAATTTAAACGACGTAAAGCCTGCGTTTTCACACTTATTAATTTATCTAGACTGTAAGTAATTTAATTTTCGTCAGTTATATGTTGTAGCTTTTAATTAAGCTTATTGTTGTCATGTATAGTTGGTTGTTAAGTTATTACAGCTGTAAGCTTCCCTTGAAAATAATAAATAAATAAAAGAAGAAGCGTGTATGTAAAGATTGATAAATGTGGAAGAACAGAAAGAGGTTTGTTTGAATCGAAGCATTTGGCGTTCCATTGTTTCTGCCTACCTTTATGGGAGACAGGCGTGACAGATATGTATGTATGTATGTATGTATTTATAACTGAACAAGTTTTGAGGTTACCAAACATACAAAAATATAATCGAATTGAGAACCTTCTTTTTTTAAAGTCGGTTTAAAACATTTTATCAGCACGTGTACATATTATGTTTTACTCTGTGGTCGGGAAATATTACATAAGCTTGTAGTTGTCTATGAATAATATACCTAAGTACTTGTAACAACTATCCAAGTTCCAAGTATAATAAATCCATTCGTGGAAGCGCGCCAAGTCTTCACAATCTAACTACGAAACAGGACGAAAATCTGTAAATACTATTTCATACAATTAAAGACAGTGTCCCATAAAAAAAATTATCTAAAAACTAAAATACTAAACCGATTTTGATAAAAATTCTATGAAACCTTCTTGTTGAATTTGTCTGAAAACTTGCATATCATTCGCCAAGTAGAATAGTTCGAAATATCAAAGACATTTTTTATCTTCATTTGGTCTCCTAGTAAATGCATGAATAATAAATAAACAAATAATATAATAAAGTATTAGTATTAGTAGTATTATATATAATGCATGCATGCATATATATCTGCATACATATCTGTCACGCCTGTCTCCCTAATGGGAGATATGTATGTATTTATGTATGGTCTCCCAGTAATTGTTACACTGATATATACCATTTAATATCAAGTTTACATCTATTTACATATAGTCTGCAATCATTTTAAGGGAAACATAGCATGCTCGGGGGAAAGGGATTGTTAATAATGGAGACTCAGAATCCTATTGCTAGCAATATACCCAACCAGGTCAACCTCCTCGCGGTTCCCCCTTGAAACTATCATGGTTAATTCCTGATAAATTCATCATGATGGGCTAACTGGCCTGTTTTCATTCTAATCTATCAGCCTTCACTGGTGCTCCGCCAGCGTATCCCGTTAGCGCAGGCGGGGTTACCATACCATTTTCACCCATCAAGAAAAAAAAACATAGCATGCTAGTTAACAAATAAACAATAAAATACTTGTAGCCATTAACATATGTTTAGTTTTTTTTTTTATACCACTGAGGTGGCAAACAAGCATACGGCCCACCTGATGGTAAGCGGTTACCGTAGCCTATGAACGCCTGCAATACCAGAGGTATTACGCGCGCGTTGCCGACCCTGAAGAAACCTCTTTACCCCCTTTTGAAGAACCCCATGCTTTAGTCTCTCGGGAAAACCTCGGCAGGGAGCTCATTCCATAACCTGAGTGTTCGTGGGAGAAAGCATCTCTGAAACCGCGTTGTACGCGACCATTTAGGCTGTAAGGTATGAGGGTGAACTCCCTGTCGATGGCGAGCCGTACGATGATAGAAAGTGGCCGTAGGCATCATATTGAATAATTCCTCTGAGCACAATTCGTTGTATAAACGGTAGAACACGCAGAGTGAGGCAAAATCTCTCCTAAGACTTAAGGGTTCAATACCACTTGCAAGCATGGGATCATCGACAATTCTCATAGCTCGTCGTTGCACTGAGTCGAAGGGTTCAAGCTGGTATCTAGGTGCTCCCGCCCATAAGTGACAGCAATACTCCATATGGGGCCGGATTTGCGATTTGTAAATCATTAATCGCTGATCCGGCGTGAAGTAATGCTTCGCTCTATTGAGCACACCGAGTTTTTTGGATGCCTATTGAAATTTCAATAAATAATTACTTTACATAAGCTTTTGCTATTTAATTAACTGCAATGTTTTCCTATAGACATCCCCTTCCATATGTTTTTATGTCATCTTAAATTAAATTAAATGCATTTATTACCAAATAGAAATAAAACAGACTTAGAACAGAACAAGAATATCACTTATGTTATATCAGAACTTATATCAAGTTACATTATGAAAACTCTGCTTTACCATTAATCCCCAAACTAGGTCAGACCTGTATCTTGGAACTAAGAATGTGGTTACCTAAAGTTCAGAACACTTCCAAGATATACGTAATAACAAAAAAACAACAGCGTACTATTATGAACATGAAATAAAAATAACATATTTGAACAAAAAATAAGGAAGACTATTGAATATAATATAAATATAAACATGTGAAAAGATGTTCGTGTGTGCGTGTGTGTGTGTGTGTAACAAGTTTATATATATATATATATATATATATATATATATATATATATATATATATATATATATATATATATATATTTTACTGGGTGATAATGGAATGATAACTCCGCCTACGCTATCGGAATACGCTGGCGGGGCACCAGTGAATGATAACAGGTGAGAATGAAAGCAGGTCAGTTAGCCCATCGTGACGAATTCCACCAGAAATAACCACGACAGTTTCCAGGGGGAACCACGTAGAGGTCGACCTGATAGGGTGTATTGCTAGCAATGGGTCAATTAGACCCCATTACTCAATTAATCCCTTTCCCCCCTCCCCCTATATAATATATTATAACATAAACAATATAAATATAACAAGTTTATATTATTATATAGTGTAACAAATACTACATGTAGTATATACTAAGTAGTTGTAATTTGATTATATAGATAGACTGTATCGCAATTAAAATGCTTCGTCAAAAATAAATAAATTTTTTTATGCATGTTTGCGTAAATTGAGTTACCAGTATGTATAGTTAATACTAAGTATGTGAGAGAAATTTTTATTATAAGGTTAAAGTGAAAATTAAAAACTATAAAAATTTTAACGAATAGGTATATTTTATAGAACAATAATAATGATTTGGTAATCTCAATGTCCTTATTTTCAAACGTATAAAAATCGTCAAGAAGATGGTTCACAGATACCTATATTGGATTTAAAATGTTTGAATTTAGAACACGATGTCATATATATCAAAAATTCGAAAAAAAAAAAAAGTGAAAGCGCAGATACAACAAACAAACCTCCTCACTTCGATCAAAAAACATTTGTATAAAATCTATGTAACTCGCATATAATAATGATATAACTATAAAATACTAACTATAAAAAGACAAATAACTATAAAACAGCATATAATAATGTCTTTTATTTTAAGCTAAGTCTATATTTTGATAAGAGGCATATTATAAATAACAGTTCAATATTATGATTATTTATTTAGTTTATTGTGTTGATACTTCTAGCATTTTTATTTAATCGAAAGTGTTTACTCGCATGTTGATCTTATTATATTCGTTTTATAAAAACTGAAGTCAGTTTTTTTTTTTTTTTTTAATCTTATTTTTTTAATAACCAATTTTGTTCATAGGTCAGCAGAGCTACAGAATTAGGAAAACTTGTAACCAGACTGCAACAGGAGAGGTCAGAAGTGGCATTTTTTATCTTCACCAATGGCAGCACGTTAAGGTAATTTAATTTACATTAATAAAATAAATTAATAAATAAATCTTTATTTAATAAATAAATAATAAAGATACAGATTATCAGTACTTCTTCTGATAGACATTGTTCTGAGCAAATATTTTTTTTTTCTATAAAACCTTAATTAGTCTATTAGAAATATTTAAAGACAAATAACTATAAATAAGTATGACTCTTTTAAGGGCAAAGCAATAAACTGAGTTGTGACTGTAGCACACGCATGAAGGAAGGGAAAGAAAGGAGATTGTTAGTTTATATATTTTGTTTTTTTTTATTTATGTTTTTTTTTTATTGTAATTTGTGTGCTGTAAGTAATATAAATAAATTCTCTGTCTATCTATCTATCTACCGACGAGAAATTATAGTTGTAAATATAGCATATTTGTTTATTTAAATCGACTAAATTAATTTATATTTTAAATTCACGAAAGAGGCTAAACTCGACGCAATTACAGGTAAAAAGTGCTTTGATACCTAATTTTTTTATACCGACGTTTCGAAATGTCCATTCATCAAATAATGTACTTATAAACAAATAGCACTGATTTTTTATTTGTATTATAATGCAGGTTTATATCTCGTTATACTAAGTCTTATCATAACTTATAAATAACTACATAATGTTATTAAAGGACTTGGGCAGCAAAAATAACATCATCTTGAGATAGATTCCTGGTCACTGAAACATTCATGGAAATTCAAAGTAGCCAATTAGCAAAAAAAGGGGCAAAGAATGCCCAAATAGGACTAGAACCTTATTGTGACATGCCCCAAAGCCTAAAGCTCAAACTCGAAATTTTAAAAACAGCAAATCTTGTTGCCAAAATTAAATTACTCGAAAGCCCTGATTAAGGGGTTTTTAGAAAATTACTCTAAGAAATTAACTCTTTTAAGTTAAAATAATAGGTACGTATTAACAAAGGGTCTCACTGGACACTTCAAACTCAACAAGCATATGGTTCAACTAGGCTTATGGCCAAAAAGTGTTTGCAGATTTTGTCACAATATGGAAGAAAAATCGCAGCACTTAATTTGTGGCTATAGCCCAATAATACATAAACGATATATCTCTTTTGGAAAATACACTTTATATACTAAGGATATAAAAAAATCGCTACAAAAAACACCTTAAAATTCTTATAACTGATAGGAATTAGCAGCGAGCTTCATCCCAATCATCTGGACGAGTGGCGGTCTTCCACCGTGCGTTTTTCACGACACTTTCTTCCACGCACAACCATTCTTTGGAATCAACTTCCAGCAGCAGTATTTCCGAACCGATACGACAACATAACCTTCAAGAAAAGGGTATATTCCTTTTTAAAAGGCCGGCAGCACACCTGCAATGCCGCTGGTGTTATGGGTGATCATGGGCGGCGGTAGTCACTTACCATCAGGTGAGCCGCATGCTCGTTTGCTCCCTGTGTTGTAAAAAAACGAGCTTTAAAAAAAAGGCGAGCACAAAAGATCATAGAAAGGTCGCAGTGTCACAAATTTTTCTGTCTGAAAAATCCCGTCTCTCAGTATTATTAATAATATACTAAGTCTATACCCGAAGTGTAGTGTAAATAGTAACAAACAAACCTATGACTCGATTCGTGTGAAAACAAAACATTAAAGTTGAGAAGTCGTTCTATTAAAGTTCTGTACGAAGTTTGTATTAACGTATTACCTGTCAATTGTCAAACGAGTAACTAAAACAAATGTCGGTTGAAAACTAACTAATATAAATGGACAAATAGTCACTTGACATAATATAAGATTGTATTTCACAAAAAAAACGACTTCAATTGTGGCAAATCCAGTGGCTTTGATTTACAAACTAAAATATTGAACCGATTTTAATAAAATTTCTATAAGAGTAATCTAAAAGTATATCATTTCAAATAAAAAAAGTATTTTCTAAATCAGTTTATAAATAACGGAACTATGAGATCACAAAAATAAAATAAAACAACCAAAGTGCTATATAGTATTAAGTCCGCCTTTTGTACCAGACATTTTTTTGTAATGTGGTCAATAAAGATTAAATAAAATAAAGTGAGAACCTCCTTTTTTTATGCCGGTTGATAATAGTATATGTAGATTGGGTATAAAGAGGCTAGCAATATTACTTGTCCGTCAATTAGACCTCCACGCCTCTCTCCCTCTCATGAAAATTATTGCTCCATCAACCATCAACTGTCCACTGCTAAACATAAGCCTCCCATAAGGGATTGGTAATAATGAGATTTAACAACCCCATTGCTAGCAATACCTGATAGGGTATCAGGTAACCTCCACGCGGTTCCCCCTGGAAATCATAGTGGTTAATTCTTGTTCAATTGATCACTATGGGCCAACTGATTTACCTTCATCCTCACCTGTCACCCTTCACTGGCACCCTGCCAGCGTATACCAATAGCGTAGGCGGGGCTACTATTTCATCTTCACCCAAAAAAAAACAAAAAAGGGTACTTTGCCAATAGTTACTGCGCTTGGCAGGCGGGTAGGATACGCCAATTGACTGAATTTTATCATCACATATCCTCACTCACTGGCACCTTGGCATCATACGCCGATTACGCAGCTGTATTGCTTATCACTACATAGTATAAAACAAATCGCTTCCCGTCTGTCTATCCCTATGTGTGTTTAGATCTTTAAAACCTACGCAACGGATTTTGATACGGTTTAAATAGATAGAGTGATTCAAGAGGAAGGTTTATATGTATAAAACATGCATAATATAGTAGAGAAACACTGATAATTTTAGATGTTTCTAATGTGGTGTGATTTAATGTGCACCCGTGCGAAGCTGGGGCAGATCGCTAGTATATTATACATTAAAATTTCTATGGGACCAATCTATTCTTCCATATAAAAAAGATTTTTCCAAATCGGTTTAGAAATGACGAAATTATGAAATAAAAAACATGAAAAAATACAACCGATTTTAGAACCATTTCTTTTTGATGTCGATTGAAAAGTCATTAGATTTATTTATATTTTGCTAAGTTTTAATACTAATAAATATAGGTATATAAATAATTAAATCGTATTCCAAATTAAATTTTTTACATCAATTAATTGTTTTCTGGAAAAGTACTCTTACAGAGTTAAACTAGCCTGTTGTACATCTTTGTAAAAACAAATGTATAACAGTGTAATCTTTATGCGCCGTATGATCCCCGCATAGAATGAGCCACTTCTTCCTTTCCCGTGGGTATCATAAGAGGCAACTAAGGGTACATAATGGTCGAGGAATGGGCAGCAACGTCCCTTTTAAAACATCACCAAAACGACCAACACGCCTGCCAAGTGTGACAACGTCTGGCGAAAGCTCCTTATGGCTGAGACCCATGTTCAGCGATGGACAATTAACAGCTGAAATAATGTCTCTTAATAATAAGCATTTTCAAATTGACATTTTTTATTATTCTACCGCCCATTCGGAAATCCAATTTCGGCCGAGAAGAATGGACAAGGAACTCGGCTATCGCTTTTATCAAACAAAAATTGAATTTTGCAAATTATAAAAATTCGATTAAAAAAAAACCACAAATTATTACAAATACAAATTATAAAGAATCTTAAACAAATCGGTCCATACAGGTATTCTATGTTAGTAAATTATATAAAATATAATAGATGAAATATATAATACGGAAACAATTGTTGTCGTATCTTATTCGTATTAAATTCATAACCTTCAGGAAAAGGGCATATTCCTGTTTAAAAGGCTGGCAGCACACTTGCAATAGTCGATCTACTTGATCATTGGGCAGAGAATATGTAAGCAGTACATTTGCTATTAAAATAAGTGCAATTTAAATTGGACAGTTTAAAATAAATATATACACATTTTTTTTATACCACGAAGGTGGCAAAAGCAGACAACGGTTCTGATAAACGGTTTGATAATGATCTGTAAACGGTTACTGTAACCTATGGACGCCTGCAACACTAGGGATGTCACCAGAGGGAGACTTTGTACAAAAGTCCATTGCTTGGGTACCTCTGTCCCACTCGTGTTTCAACCGTGAAGCAGTTGTGTTTGCATGGCTGTGTTTCGGTTTGAAGGGTGGGATATGGCGTGAATTTACTGGGTACAGAGGAATAACACCTGAGTCCTCAGGAATGGCAACACATGGGGGGATATCATGGGCGAAACAGTATCCTCTGTTATGTCCATGATACTGCTCATGTCTATAGGCGACGGTTACCACTTTCCATCAGGTGAACCGTCGGCTTGTTTGCCATTCTAAGTTGTATAAAAAAAAACGTGCGTTTTGCCGATCCTAATTAACATAAATATTATGAGAATTAATTACTATCACAGTATAAAGAATTATTTCTTTATACAGTAGTTTTGACAAAGAAGTCTATATAGGGTACCTTTTGAAGGGTGATGGGGATGGGATGTACCTAACCGCCATACATTCGTTCGGTACCTGAGGTTCGGTAAAGGTTAACGCATGCCTTTCTACTTTTGAATTTTATTATTTAACTAATTTATTATTTTAGACATTTTTGAATCTTTGAATTTAGTTCCTTTTTATATTACATTGAATAAATAATGTTTTTACATTGTATTCTGAGTAACGTTTTTGTTTAAATCCGGTTTTGCTGATCTAAAAAATTAAGGTATTGATTTTGAGAAATAAAATTTTTGAATAATAATTTTATGCAAGTTTGGCTTAACTTTGTCAAGTAATTACCATATTTATTTTCAATTAACTTCAATAAGATAAGATTAAAACTAAACTTAGATAATTTGGTTTTAGTCTCCTTCTATTGCAGAGAATTTACCAAACTTGGCCATACTTGGTCGAACTTGACTACATTGGACTAAAGTATATAAAATTCGATTTAATTAATCGAACTGAACTAATCTTGGCCCAACTTGACCAAACTTGACCAAGTTGAAATAAACTTAGTCTAACTATACCAACTTCGATTTAAGTGATCAAACTTAGCTTAATTCAGTTTCACTTTATTATATTTATTTATTTTATTTATTTATTATTATTTTATATAGCAGTTATTCAGTTATCAGTATGCTAGAAAGCTGGCTGCTTTTTGCACATACCTGTTCGCCTTTCACATAATTAATTTCCAGAACACAATGCCCGATCATAATTAAAGGTTAAGCTCATTATTATTATTTATTTTTCTTAAATATGTTTCATATACAGACACCGTCTATTAAGTTGGTTTATATTACTAATAACTAGTTAATTAAATTTACAAATTCAAAATATCTTTATTTGAATAGACTTGTTTACAAGCATTTTTAAATCATCATTTTTTTTTAATCTGCTGCAGGGAAAATTTTTAAATTTTTAATCTACTCCATAAAAAAACCTACCCAAGGTTTCTTTTTTTAATGGGTGAAAATGAAATGGTAACCCCGCCTGCGCTAACAGGATACGCTTGCGGAGCAACAGTGAAGGGTGATAGATGAGAATGAAAACAGGCCAGTTAGCCCATCATGATGAATTCATCAGGAATTAACCATGATAAATTCCAGGGAGAACCGCGAGGAGGTCGACCTGGTTGGGTATATTGCTAGCAATAGGATTCTCAGTCTCCATTACTAACAATCTCTTTCCCCCCGGGTTGGGTAGGTTGCAATCTTAGTGTATTATATAAAATTTTATTATCTTTAATTAAGCTCACAACTTGTTTACAGTTTCTGATAATAATGGAAAAGAACGAATTTAGGAATGGACAAAAACATTTACCACTTCCAAAGACCAATCCTGACAACATTTACTGGTTGAGGTTATTCTAGGAACTTATAGCGTTGGGTTCTTTAAAAGGGTATAATAAAATTTCTTCTGGGTCGGCAATGCGTACGTGATGCCCGTGTTAGTAGTTAGGTAGAGGTTTAGATTTTCACGGTTTACGGTGACTGTTTGCCATCATTCAAGGGATTGATTCCATGTCGGGATTCTGCCGAATTGATGCCGGGACTACACGACAAATATATTTTTTATTCGTTACCTCATAACTTTTGGTCTTACCACAGTATAGTATTATATTATCTGTGCCAGAGAGTAACTTTGTGCAAAAGTCGTCTGCTTGACCACCAGCAGTTGTGTTTGTGTGGTTGTATTTCGGGTTGAAGGGTGGAATATGGCGTGAATTTATAGGGTACAGAAGAATAACACACGAGTCCTCAAGAATGGCAACGCATAAGGGGTATCATGGGCCAAATAATATACTCTGTATGTTCATGGTACTACTCATATCTATAGGCGACGATTACCACTTTTCACCAGGTAAGCCGTCAGCTTGTTTGCCATTCTAAGTTGCATAAAAAAACAAAAACTTCTTTAGTTGTAACTCGACTTAAGTACTCGTCAATAGATTAATAGGTTTTATTAATTGGAAGCTGTTTTAATATACTAATTAATTTGTTATACTTATTTTCTATTTTTATGTTATTTAGCAACTTGTTATAAATTGTTTTTTAATTTGTTGCCAGGTCAAACTTATGGCAACGGTTCTCCGAAACTGATAGAGCTATAGAGCAGATGGGGGAGCTTCCACTGCTATCTTTCAAGAATCGTGCCAAGCCAGTTGATGAGAAGACCTTCATGACAGAGCTAAAAGAGCTCAGGTGAGATAATATATATAAACTCAGTTCGGGTATCGTGAGGGGTATCATAGGCGAAACAGTATACTCTGTTATGTCTATGGTACTGCTCATGTCTATAGGCGACGGTTACCACTTTCCATCAGGTGGGCCGTCAGCTTGTTTGCCATTCGAAGTTAATAGATATAAAAAAAAGCTTTTTAAGACTTTCGAATGTCCATTAAGTGCTTAAAACAAATAATGCAAATCGAAACTTAATTGTTGACTGTACTATTTACAAGACAAGTTAGTGATTCCCCGAAAGCGTGTGTGGTTTCCGAAACCGTGTATACTGCGAGTTACGAAAGTGGATGAAGTAAGATATGTTTCCAAGAATAAAGGTCCTTGGCACTTCGCTTCCATAATAGAACTAACCATAGATTATAATACAAACACCAAAGATCTCTACACACTTTCGGAAGGGAAGGAATAGGATTTTAAAGGACAGGTAAAATCGCATTTGCTTTCGTTGTACTTACTTGTCTTTACTTCTGTAATATTTTGCCAGTTTCGTCATATTTCCTTGTGTGTGCTATATACGTATGTTTGATTATGTATGAATGTGTATGTATGTGTGTATTTCATATTTTTGTGCAATATAAATTTTTGTATTTTATGCACGTAAAAATTACTAATTCACTCTTGCGCCACCTAGCCACTTCGATCAGTTCTCCTTTAATCAAAGTTTGTCTGTGTTTGAGATTGCCATAGCGATAAGACCGCCTTTTGAATCTTTATGTTTGTATTTTAATCTATACTTTATACTATCGTATTTCACTTGAATTTAAGGAAGTTCATACCCTAATTCTACTGATTTTTATTTAGTTTTTCCTAAGGAGAGTACTAAATGGTACATCTGCTCAATATCGTCTGCGAACTACTACTAATCGACAGACTTCAGAAAGTTCAGTACAGTACAGTTTGATTTAACTTCGATCAGTTCGAAAAAATTTTATTTTTTTATGTATGTTAAGTATAATATTATTTGTATATATATATATATATATATATATATATATATATATATATATATATATATATATATATATATATATATATATATATATAATACAATACAATGCATGGAAAACTAAACAATTCGTTCAACCATTTTTTCCCCAAATCTAATAATCGGGAAACTAATCTGTAATTACAGTTATAAATCACGGATCGACAGGTAAAACAACGGAAATGAGCATGTTCAAATTAGATGCTCCCTGTTTCCAATAACGACAAACTAAGATTAATTGCCTCACCAGGCACTGTTTGTTTGCACCTTATTAAACTTTAATGGAATCCACTCAATGGACGGTGCATTCTAAGCGTTTTTTTTTTAATCATTCACGTGTCGCAGTGTAATCGTGATAAAGTGTTTTATGCACAATGTAATTAAAGGTAATTTAAATTAAGAACTGCAAACAAAATCAACAGGATAAAAAAGAGAACAAAAGCAGATAGAACCAGGCAGATTTAAACTAAATATTAGCGTAGAAATAACACATAAAATTAGTAGTAGTTCGCAGATAATATTGAGTATAATACATGTCCCATTCGTGTTTCTACCGTGAAGCAGTTGTGTTTGCATGGTTGTGTTTCGGTTTAAAGGGTGGGATATGGCGTGAATTTACTGGGTACAGAAGAATAATATCTGAGTCCTCAGGAATGGCAACGCATGGGGGGTATCATGGGCGAAACAGTATACTTTATGTCCATGGTACTGTTCATGTCTATAGGCGATGGTTATCAGGTGGACTGTCAGCTTGTTTGCCATTCTAAATTGTATAAAAAAAAAACTAGAATGTTTTTAGCTCTATTTTAAATACACAATTAGGACTTAACACGATGTAAAAGTCTTTACAGGTAAATAGTACCTAGATACTTGTTTCTTTATTTAAGTCCCAGTTGTGTATCTAAGATATGTGTAAACAACGCGAAAATTTAAAATTTTAGCCCTCTCTTAAGATAAACTATAATAAAACATTAATTTAAGATTGCGTTCTACAAAAAAAAAATTATTTATTTGTGGCAAATCTAGTCATTTGGATTTAAAAATTAAACTATTAAATCAATGTTAGAAAAAGAGAATTTTTGAAATTGATTTAGGTGTTATGAGGTAACAAACATTATAAAATAAATACAACTAAATTACATAAAAACCACTTCCGTTTTAAAGTTGATTCAAAAGTTATTCATCATTAGACGATAAATGTATGTAATGACGTAATGATTGTAATAATTATAAAAAAAAACACAGCAGAACAAAGGATCTCCTCCTTTTTTGAAATCGGTTAAAAATATATTATGTTCGTTATAACTAAAACCCTTAAACAAACTAACACCAACTTGGAGACTTTTATATAAACATGACTATCCAATTAGCAAATACCTACGCCCTATGTAACTTGATACAATAGGGGATTCTAGAGCATTAAGCTATATCTCTATACATACAATATATATAATTATATATATAAAGATAAGCAAACAGAAGTGGCAATGGGCTGGTCACATAGCTCGAAGAACCGACAACCGATGGGGAAGAAAGGTTCTTGAATGGCGACCGCGTACGGGTAAACGCAGTGTGGGACGACCCCCCGCTAGATGGAGTGACGACCTGAAATGCATTGCAGGGAGTCAGTGGATGCAAATGACTCAGGGCCGTTCTTTATGGCAGTCTTTGGGGGAAGCTTATGTGCAGCAGTGGACGAATAATGACTGAAATAATGATGATGAAGCTATATCTCATAATATGTTCGACAAATGTTAAAAATTATAAAGATATATGTTTATCTACACCTTAGTAGGCTTACTTCCTGATGGTAGCGAGTTCGATGTCCGCATAATACAAGCATTTATATTTAAAAGTGTCGTCATATATCATACCAACCCTTAACTGTCCACTACTAAAATATAGGCCTCTCCTTATTAGGGGTTTTTGCCAATAGCTACCATGTTTGGCAAGCGGGTTGGCAACTGCAGTTAGGCTTTAGAGACGTTTTAAGAAGAACACTGCTGCCCATCCCTCGGCCTCCTTATTCGCCTCTTACGACACCCACGGGAAAAAACGGGTGGCCCATTTTATACCAGAACTGCACTATCAATATTTAATTATTATTATTTATTAATTAAACGAATAAACTACCTATTATTTGACAAATGAGAGCGTTTTCTCGGTTTTACCATTTATTTGTCCTCTGTTCCATTCGTGTTTCAACCGTGAAACAGTTGTGTTTGCATGACTGTGTTTCGGTTTGAAGGGTGGGATACGGCGTGAATTTACTGGGTACAGAGGAATAACACCCGAGTCCTCAGGAATGACAACGCATGGGGAGTATCATGGGCGAGACAGTATATTCTGTTATGTCCATGGTACTGCTCATGTGTATAGGCGACGGTTACCACTTTCCATCAGGTGGACCGTCAGCTTGTTTGCCATTCTAAGTTGTATAAAAAAAATTGTAAAATTAATCATGGACTAGAAATCAATTATGGTACTTACTTTAATTTGATCCTCTATCTATGTATATCGGAAAGATTTCGCGCTAATGACCAAATACGTGAAAGATTACCAGCACCAAAAACCTTTTAGGTTATTAGATAGATATAGTATAATTGACCAAACTCTCTGTGCGCGATCAATCACCGTGTTAGTGTTATTTTGGAGTATCCGTAGAGAACTTGGTACTATTTTAATATAATAGCTACCGGTTTAACTTACTTGTAATGAGATCGAGAAAGCTCGATTACTTTTGGGAGCAGTTCGCGTCCCTAAATTATAAGAAGCTGCGATGGTTAACTTTAATGATCCCGACTGGTTAACTTTGTTACTATCTTCATCATCATCATATCGGCTGTTAACTGTCCATTGCTGAACATAGGCCTCCCTCAATTGAATAGTTCTGCCCATAGTAGCAACGCTCAGCAGTCGGGTAAGCAATCGCAGTTGGTTTAATGTTTTAAAAGAGAGGCTGATGCCAATTCCTAGACCGTTAAGTTGTTGAAGTTGTAATACTGACTGTTGACACTGAGGTTTTTTAGAACAATGTATTATTTTTAAGTTTGTTCTATGTCAGATTTTTATAAGACATGTCTCGTATTTTTTTCACTAAACTTATTATTTTATATCTCAAATACATATATGTTTTATTACCGCATCCTGCTATTTACAACATAAATTCCCTTAGACGCCTAAGTTACAAGACTTACAGGAAAGAAAGAGGCGGTCTATTCTACGCCTGGATTGTTACTACAATTGTTACTATAGATACGTACAATTTTATTCTTTATCCGCGAAATAATATGACTTTCTTGAACATGGAATTAATTACTTACATATCAAAAAAGACAAAAACTTAATAAATAATAAAGGAATTTGTTTGTTTCATTTAACGAACAAAATCACTGAAACTATTTTTAATTTGAAAAAATATTTTTGCATTTGATAGCTGATTGTTTGAAGAAATTATAGGCTATTCAATACCACGATACGACTACGGTTGAAGCTGCAGGATATATCTAGTTTAACTAAATCGAACGTTTTCAGTGGATTTGTAGAAGAAATTCTTTGTTTAATTTATTCCTATAAAAGCAACCCATTTTGCAAATTTCCATAGAAAACTGTTGATTACGTAAGTGGCAATTATTAATTACGGCCCTATTAAGAACAATAAAATTTACGCTTTATACCGCCAGGCATTATCTTCACTTACTATTACCACGCTACTCAATCTATTAATATAATAACATACACTTATATAAAAAAAAAACTTAACTGAAAATTTGCCCCGAAGAAATTTCTTCATCATTTATAAACGAGAGACTTGAAGTTATTCTAAAAGTTTGTATGTTTAGTGCTTGAATGTTTATTATTCCATCACGCTTAAATAACTGAATGGATTTGCATGCAATTTGGTACTCGAATAGGTTATATCCTAAAGCATAGGATACTTTATTTATTTATTGTTTATAACACAATAAAATTTGTA